CTTTTTTCAGACCGAGTATTTACATGAGCAAATGAATCACTTTTTATGAAAAGTGACGAGAATTGAACTTTAAATTGTGTACTTGCAAAGCAATTCTTATCCTTTAGAAGGACTGATGCATGGCGTAGCCCCAGTGAATTGAAAGGTTCATTACTTCAGATTTACTACGGTCTTTCCATTCCATCATCGAGTATTCTACTGCCGTGATGTACATCTTTACAAGCCAAACTATGTACCTGAAGATTTCAACGTCTACGTCTCCTACCCACTTCTCTACACTCTTGGATTCGTACTGCCACCCCTAGTTGTGAGTTGAAGATGGTCCTACATTCTTCTGATTCCATTTATAGGTGCAATGTTTTCTGAGAAATGTTTTCTGAAGAAAGACAACCCAATCAATTTAAACAATATCGATTATTTATCGATTTGCTCTGTGAATCCATTCTATACTTCTCAAAGGCACAGTTCACGATGAAAATGGTTTCTGAGGTTTCCCCATAGGATGAATTTGAGGCCCCCTCGTATACCATAACTGACGCTATTAGTTCGGAAAACGGCCTAGTAAGTGAGTTATAAAGCTTCAAAGATCGGCCTGTGCGTATCCTCGACCGAGTTTCACCGGCATTGTAGAGGCTGCACCTATCACAAGGAACCCATGTAGGAAGTTCCAACAACTTGTCATGACCCATAGCGACAGTGGAAGGCAGTTCTCTACAGCTTTGGCTTGATGTAGTCAATTTTTTGCGCAATTGCAATACCTGAAATTTCGTCCGAATACCACTTCCATGTTGTTTCCGTCATGGTAATCTCGTCCAACTTCTATTTTCCCTACTTTCAGGAGCCATATTTTTCTCGAAATCGGCGGATTCTCCCACTTTCTTCACTACCGATGAACTGTTCCCAACCTATAGTTCCGCTTTTCGAACAAAAACCGGTACCTCAAAAATACCGTGAGCAAAGCCTTTAATGAAAGTGTTTCCTCAGTTCGGATCCCTCAGAAGGAAAACTAATCCTGTAAATGATTTTTTATTCTCAAAAGAAAACCTGGTACTTAAGATAAGTTCGTTGTGTCCAACCCTAATGTTGTGGTACGTATCGATGTGAGTTTTGGTACGCAATGGAGGCAGGGCTTCAGAAAGTTTTGTAGATTCTGTAGAGTGGCTTTCCGAGGGTGCACTAGCTCTTGCGTTTCCTGTACATAAGTTTTAGGCATCTAAAAACAACGGGAGTGGCAAGTGTAAGGCGCTTGAAACGCCCAAATCCCTACTATCACCATCTTTCAACCATCAACCATCCCCACCACTCTTCCCCCACTTTCGCTCCTCCCTTTACCCCTCCACTTCTCCATCTCCACCTCCACAATGTGCCCTTACAAACCAGTCGAAATGACGAAACTAACCAGTTGCTGTAGGCCTAGATTGAGATGGCGGCCGGCACTGTTCTTCGGGATTGCTTCCAGATAATCGGTTGCGAAGAGACAAAAAGACACCTGAGACTCGCGTTCGATCCACTGTATTTTCCAGCCTAATGGTCGAGATGTTCAATATTTGCTTTGCAGCTGCTTGGACGACGAATGTCGTGTTTGGGGATTAAACGACGATTTTGCACCGTTCAACTCGCCGTAACGTCCGTTTCAGAAAGGCCATCCCACGCACGGAGCCATAGTTCATAAAAGAAATTCCTTCTAAGGCAATTCACCAGGTGTTTTAGTGGGCGCTCGGCTGGAAAAGGTGATGACACATCACCTTTTCCGTAGGGGCGAGTGTTTCGGCTCTACACTAGATGATTCAAGGAAAACAGCAGGCGATAGTTTCCTTTTAAATAGGAACCGTAGTGGCAATTTGAATGCATATATGTAGCCTACACAATGAGCAACGGTGACCCCCGTTGACAAGTCAAAGCTTCTTTCCCCGCCTTCCCCTCCTCCCAGACAAGTCGGGTACCAATTAGCCGGTCCCGTGGTGATAGAAAGCTTGACACTGGTCTGGGTGGGATACGACCAGACTATGCGTGTGTAATTGTGTGTAGCTTGCCTAAACCACCTCCGCCTCATAGGAAGGATGGGAGCCTCGATTGGCATGAGCGAGTATCAATCCGAGAGTCGACCGTGAATCATGCATGGGTATCGCAATGCGCCCTTTACCACTACACCATCTCCGCAATACTTGTGAACTCATTCAAACGATAGGATATTTGAAAGCCACACTCGATTTTCAGAGGAAACGGGAGTCAGAGAACGAAGAAGTGCACAAAAAAGTTATTGAAAATTTAATTTGATTTTTTTCATTAATTGAATCCAATTTTCATTGAATTCTTCTTAAGAAGAGGGAGTCGTGATGATGAATTAATTTTCGAAGTCACAGAGCTTAATTTCAAGCTTATTTGTGAAGTTTCCAAACTGTTTCAAGTCTTGAAAATTGGCAGGTGGAAGTCCACTGAACAAAAATACCTTCAAAAAGTACAGTAATGCCTGACAGGCCAAAAACATTTCGTTTACAACAACAAGATGTTTATTTTCAACCTTCTGTATTTATTTATTTATTTTTTACGGTGTGACTTGTGAGGTGCGAAAAAATCGGGAATTCTGCTAACTCTTTCATTTCTATTTTTTTTCTTTTTTTTTTGTCAAACAATCGGTCACATGGCGATTATAAAAGCAATCATTTTTTGAAAAAACAAACATGATTCGGCAAAAAAGTTGGGCCTCAGTGGAGGCTCCAGCTTTTGCCCTATCGGCTATCTGCTTTGTTTTTCCGTCCATAATCAGCTAATCAGCTAATCAGCAACATGAACTTCCCAAATTTTTCCATAGTACAACGCTCCCCATTGCCTTTGGGATTAATATATTTAGTGAATGACTGAAGGCACAGCGCTGTTTTACAGATCCCAATAGCGCGACAACAAATCAAGCCTTCTGAGTGGTTCGGTGAATACTGCAATGGAAGGGTGATTCATTCGGATACCTCTGAGATGGCGAAAAGAATGCAATATAGAAATGGCACATTCTAATAGTTTATTGTTAGTCTACGTCGGCCACTTCAATTTATTCTGTGGGAACTGGATCCGTTCCTATGCGCCATGTGTAAAGTAGAATATCAAATAATGTCAGTTGTGAAGGTGCTAAGAGTTGCAGTTATGTGTGCGCTTATTTTCGCGTTCTTCAAAGTAAGCTAGTCGTATTTGTACAGCAAGATTGCCATACGTTGGCTATCAATACCACCCTGAGCTAATCTGAAAGCTGCCCTGCTCAAAAATAATGACCTTCAAGGGTTTAGAGATTTCGCTCATTGCAACTGTTTCATTCTTAAAGACACAGTTCACGGTAATTTTGGGTAATCCAGATTATGATGAAAAATGGAACGTAAGATGGAAAATAGTGCGGTGGAGGCGAAGGAACTGCGTGGATCGGTGTTCCCGAAGTGAAAAAAAGGCCTCGAAAAATCGATAAAAAGGGGGCTGGACGAGAATGAGACCAGAAGAATGAAGAAGAGTGGGCCACCTAGAACGAATAGTTGCAATCTGTATTGTCTCGACACTCGTCTGACGTGACATCGATCGAGAGGCGGAAAAGCGGGGCTTCTCCGCCCCTCGAATTACCGTGAACTGTGCCTCTAAGATGAGAGTGAAGTGTTGGTGGAGAATAGTGCATCGGTTGTGAAGAAAGCGAGAAAATCCACCGACCTTGCGGAAAATAATGAAATTCCCAGTAGGAGTGAAGTTCCCAGTAGGAGTGAAAACAGGGGTTACACGAGATCGCCATGACGGAAATGGAACGGAAGCAATACTCGGACAAGAATTCGATTGTTGCAATTCTGTAAAGAGCTAGTATAGCTAATCAAAAATTTTCAAAGCAGCTCGTCCGTTTTTGGGTGTGGCATACAGTAGATGCAATCTTTGAGCCCCTATAAGATCTATCTCAGAGGCATATTTCAGAAACCATTCTATCGTCACTGTGCCTTTGAATATTGTCCCTCTTTCCTGAAAGATGGTACTTATTTGTTTACTTCAATCTCTTCATGTACTAGCTATGAGGACGCTCCGAGGAGACTGCTTAGGAAACAATCTTTCCCACTACCAAGAAAATCTAGTTTTATTCAAAAAGGTCAAAAATCCGTTTGATTTGATATCAGTCGATCTTTTTAATCATAGCTTTTAGGATCTTTAAAAGTCACAAACGATCAGAAGGAATGAACATATGTATCTACCTTTTATTGTCTACGTCGTTATTTACAGATACTTTGTAAATTTTGATAATTAATTATGATTTTGTAAATCCAGATGTTCATCGGTGAGGTGATGTTTTGGCTGTTTTCAACGAAACCACGAAAGACAGTCTATGCAAATTGTGGCGAATGCAAAGTGCATCTGTTCACAAGGCGACTTCTCCGATTTATCGGTAAGTATGAACGCTACCGTAGGAAGCCACCTGAGGCTATCCCAGGATGAGGTTACTTTGCAGCTGTGTTCCTATGTGGAGCGTTGGTGACTCAAATATTCGTTGATACGATCAAATTGATGACCGGCTACCAGCGACCATATTTTCTTTCCCTTTGCAACGTATCTATAAGGTAATCTCTGCTCTAAACTCCTTTTTCTTTACCGGTCACAATCAGTTGGGTTATCTGCTCGATTCAGTGCTTGCACAGCTCCATTAGAGCATTCACCATCACCATCGCCTCATCTTGCATGTAATTTCCGAGGAGCTGATGAGTTACGGTATGCTTGGCTCACATTCCCGT